ATGTTTATTGCTTCCTTTTCTCTCTGTGTTCTCTAAATGTGAGTCCACTCCGTGTTACAGTGTCTCCAGGACAAGTTCTATCTGTTTACTTTATTTTGCACTGGACTTCACTTATCATGGTACTTCAAGCAGAGCTGGGTAATTAGGACATTTGAAAGTTAATTCCCTGTGAAAGAGGGACAGGGTACACAGAGAGGTAATATAGATGAAAGAGAGATATGTGAGCAGATGTGAAAGAGGAAAAAATGATATAATAATTGAACATTTACTTTTCAGTTAACCAAAGAATCAGAGTATGTATTAGGGTCTTAGTTTAAGGCCCTTACATTATTGTTCTAGGAGCTCAGGAGTGAAGTATGAGTAACCGTTTCCCTCAAGGGTTTTTCAGTCCAATCAGAGAGACTCAAATACAAATGAAACAAGGATTCAAGATGCTTTCCAACAGGACTAGACCACAATGGAAGTGCTATAGGTGTTAAAGATGAGCTACTTTGTCAGGCTGGAGTGGTTAGTTGATGATGGTTCTCCCCATGGTCCCCAGGGGCAGTGGCTATTTCTTTTTCTTTTTGAAAAGTAAACACATATATTTTAAAACTGAGGAAAGTAATATTCAAATAGATGATTTTCAGGGGAAAAATTCCCATTGATTGGCATTTTATTTATCCTGAGTTAACATAACTTTAAGACATCCAGATAATAGCATTCCATGTATCAATTATCCATGATGTTTGTCATATTTTTAGTAGTAAATTTAATGTAAGAATAAATTATTTTTTGGTCATTTCATAGTCTTTTAAAATGCTCCCTTAAAAATGCTATAAAAATTACTGTTAACATTGATTTGCAAGATTCATTTTAGCACAGGAATAATTTTTTTTGTTATTGAAATAAATATACATGAATGATAATTCTATCACAATAGTTTTATATAAAACTAGTACCATTGTTTTTTTTTCATAGTAAGGTATTTTATTTTCTTTTTTAAATAATTTTTATTGTTGCCCTAACTGACGTGGCTCACTGGATTGAGCGTCAGCCTGAGAAGCAAAGTCGCCAGTTTGATTCCCAGCATAGAGCACACGCCTGGATTGCAGGCCAGGTCCCCAGCAGGGGGCGCACGAGATGCAACCACACACTGATGCGCTCCTCTCTTTCTCCCTCCCTTCTCCTCTCTAAAAATAAATAAATAAAACAAATCTGAAAAAAAAATTTTTATTGTATTTTTTCCATTACCATTTAGGCCCCTTATACCCCGCCTACAGCAACACCCACCCTGGCTGTGGGTTGCTTATCCCAGCAACCACCGCACTGTTGTCTATGTCCATGTCCATGAGTCCCCTTTCCTTTTTGCTCAATCCCTTTACCTGCTAACTGCCAAAACCCCCCTACCCCCTTAGCTGGCATCCTGCTCTATATGAGTCTATCTCTATTTTGCTTGTTAGTTCAGTTTGTTCCCTAGGTTCCTCATATAAGAGAAATCATATGGTATTTGTCTTTTTCTGACTGGCTTGTTTCACTTAGCATAATGTTCTGCAGGTCCATCCATACTGTCACAAATGGTAAAAATTTCTTCATTTTTATGGCCGAGTAGTATTCTAGACCACCTTCTTACACCACACACAAGAATAAATTAAAAATGGATTAAAGACTTAAATGTTAGACCTGAAACCATAAAAACCCTAGAAGAAAACATAGGCAGCAAGGTCTCAGACATGGCTCAAAGCAATATTTTATAGGATATGTCTCCCCAGGCAAGGGAAACAAAAGAAAAAATAAACAAATGGGACTACATCAAACTAAAAAGTTTTGGCACAGCAAAGGAAATCATCAACAAAATAAAGAGACAACCCACAGAATGAGAGAACATATTCCTCAATACATCTGATAAGGGATTAATATCCAAAATCTATAAAGAACTTACAAATAACACAAAAAAAAAAACCCCAGACAAACAACCAGACTAAAAAAGGGACAAAGGCCTAAACAGACTTCTCCAAAGAGGATGTAGATATGGCTAATAGACATTTGAAAAGATGCTTAACTCACTAATCATCAGAGAAATGCAAATTAAAATCACAATGAAATATCATCTCACACCTGTCAGAATGGCTGTAATCAATAAATCAACAAACAAGTGCTGGTGAGGATGTGGAAAAAGGGGAACCCCTTTTTCACTGTTGGTGGGAATGCAGACTGGTGCGGCCACTGTTGAAAGCAGTATGGAGGTACCTCAAAAAATTAAAAATGGATCTGCCTTTTGAACCAGCAGTCCCACTCCTGGAAATACATCTGAAGGAATCCAAAACACTAATTTGAAAAAACATAAGCACCACCACGTTCATTGTAACATTATTTACAACCAAGATATGGAAGCAGATTGTGTCCATCAGTTGATGGATGACTGGATAAAATAACTGTGGCTATTTCTTTAGAGCATGATCACGAGAGGAGCCCTAGTTTCTGTCTCCCTGAGGCCAATAAAAGAGAACACCAAGAGAGGTCAGGAACTTGGACCAGAACTCAAGATTCAGGCTTTGCATATGAATATGCCTTATGGTTTAGGGGAAGTCCTATAATTTTTTTCCTTCACTTCCAACTATTAGCATGTGAGTCCTCTTGATCATCACTGCCATCCATAAACATGCACAAGTGGAATTAAGCTAAGTCCCCAGCTGTAAGATAGTCTCTTCAATGTTAGGGGAGAAGGGGACTGAGGGTCAAAGGAGAAAATACAGAAAGGGAAGCTCATTAAATTGGGTTGGCCAAAAAGTTCATTATGTTTTTTTCTGTAAAATAAGACACGATTTTTTTCATTTTCACCCATAATGTTATTGATTTGGATATTCTGAATATGTCGGCTATCTCCTGCTATTGGCTTCTAGTGGGTAGAGGCCAGGGGTGCTGTTAAATATCTTCCAATGCACAAGACAGCTCCACAGCAAAGAATTATTTGGTCAAAATGTCAACAGTACTAAGAAACTTTGTGAACCTTTTTTTGACATATTTGATCAGTCATGGCATCTTTTCTATACACTGCACAAATCTTTTGTTGAGTTTCAGTTGCATTTTTACCTTTCTTAAAATAATAAAGTATAATATACCAAAAATGTTGCATATTTTCTTCCAACTTCAATATTAAAATGGTTGCACAAAAATTCACCGATTTTGATAATTTTTTAAAAAAGGCATGCTGATATGACAATTGTCACAATACAGTCTAACAAAACTGTTTTGAAGTTAAAGACAACTAAGTGCTACTAGAGCCATTGTATAGAAAAAAACATAATGGACTTTTGGCCAACCCAATGTATCCCAGCTATTTCTGCTGATCTGTCACTACTTACTCTCTTACCCATGCCTTGTCTCTTCAGTTCACACATACTCTATAATTCTCCATCTGTTTCCAGCCCAGTTACTGGGAATTGGATATGAATAGCTTCTACAGTTAACTGAGCAAGAGAAATGAGCAGTACTGATGACTCTATAAAAGTTTTCGTTCATTAATTCAATCATTCATGATGTCTAATCCAAAAATGAAGATGACATGATTCTTGTCCTAAAGCGGCTCTGTAAAAACCATGATATGACTTAACGTAATAACTGAAGTGTGAGAGCAAAGCACTCTAGATGCCACAAGGAGGGACCAATTAGCTGTGTGTGTGTGGAGGGGTGTGTATGTTGTATGCAGGCAGACTGTGACAAAAGGCAAGGTTCACAGACAATACGATATTAGAGAACTCTGGGGAGATGAGTAAAATTTCACTATCAGAGGAGAAGAAAGAGCAGAAGAGAAGAAATACTGGAAACAGCATGAGGAAAGACCTTACATTCTATTTAAATCTAGGAATTCTGTCGTTAGGACATTCTTGATTGAATAAATCAGTATGTGTCATCATACCATAACATAATAACTTACCAGTAGTAGTAAAGGCCTATATTTTAATCATGAAATCTCTCATTGATGTCATTAGTGATGCAAACTGGGAACTTGAGCCTATCCTGTCATAAAGTTATTTGTATCATAAGGCGGGGTTTATTCTTTTATCTGCTTTGGTGTTATTTTTGTTTTTTTCTACCCCCGCCCCCATTTTAATGAGATATAAGCAACATACAGCATTTTATAATTTTAGATTGTACAGCATAATGATTTGACTTACAACATTAATTACATAATAGCAAGAATCTGGTTGGCATATATATGATCTCAGTTGTATTGTGTTATTATTTACAGCTAGCATGTTTCAATCTCCATCTAAACACGTGCCCCCTTGTCATGTGGTTCCTGTGTCCTTGTCTGTGTGATCTAACTCAGTGGTTCCCAACCTTGACTGCTCCTCAGAGGGGATGAAGGGCTTTAGAATAACCAGAAGCCAAAGCCCCTGATTGTGCCATAATTGTTCTGGAGTTTTTTTTTTAATTATAGTAAAATTCACATAAGGTAAAATTTACTGTTTTAATAATCTTAAAGTGTAATTTAGTGGCATTAAGAATATCACAATGTTATGCAACCATCACTTCTATCTCATTCTAGAACATTCCATCACCCCAAATAGAAGCCCTGTCCCCATTAGCAATCACCTCTCCCCCATTTCCCTTCTCTAGCCTGTGGACATTTCACATATATGGAATCACACATGATGTGGCCTTTTGTGACTGGCTTCTTATACTGAGCATCATGTTTTCAAGGTCCATCCATGATGTAGGGAACGTTGGTGCTTCACTGCTTTTCGTGGCTGAATAAATAATCCACTGCATGGTAGGACCACATTTTGCATATCCATTCATCCTTTGTTGGAGTTTTGGGTTGTTTCCATTTCAGACTCTTTAAACAAGCCTACTTTTAATGTTCATGTACACAATTGGGTTTTTTTTATTTTTTATCTTTTTTATTTTTTTTGACTAAAACAATTTCTTTGTAAGTCACTTAATATATAGTTACAGATTTCTATACAGATTGTTATCTAAGAAAAACAAAATGGTAAATTAAGAGTTCAGACATCTTAGACAAGACTTGACTTCTGGGCTTCAGAAAGATGTGGAAACTTTTCCTGAAGAAGTTTTGCTTGCTTTTTCTCTAAATTTTTCTTCCTTGCTTGGATATGGGCTTGTTTCTCATGTCTCACTCTGTCAAAATGGTCCACATAGGGCATCGCAAAGAATCGTTTCCTATTGTATCTCTTATTTAGGTGCCAAGATAGAGGCCACTGCTTGAACTTGTGCCAGATGATTCTTCCAAAGATGTCTTTTCTCCAAGCACCAGGTCTAGCTTTTTCTTGACCTGTCTGAAGAAGTCTTAGGGCATCTTCTCGTTCCTGGATGACTTTAATGCGTCCATGGACCCTACTATCTTTTCTAACCACTCTGGACTTGGCATTGGTAATATCTGCCGTTTGACCTCCTGCTGTAGGGTCAGAAGCATATTTCTTTCTTTCAGTAGGACATACCAAAGTTTATGTAAATCTTCATTACTTTTGTGTCTTAATTGCTGACAGGTCCATGCGGCTCCAGATTTTACTTTTTCTTCCCCCCAATTCTTTGGGTCATCAAAAAATTCTTCCAGTCCTTTCCTTGACAATGTGGTATGAAGTATTCTACACTGGTGTAAGGATGTGACATTTGGTGTATTCTTGGGTAACAAATTAAGAGAAAACCCTGTGCCAGCAGGGACCTGAGAACTTAGTAAGGACCTGGAAGTCTTCAAAAATCTATTTTTTATTTTTTTAATTATACTTTATTGATTATGTTATTATAGTTGTCCTGATTTTTCTACCTTTGCCCCAATCATCCAGCACCCTACTCCCTCAGCCAATCCCCCCACCATTGTTCATGTCCGTGGGTCATGTGTATAAGTTCTTTGGATACTCCATTTCCTATACCGTACTTTACATCCTCATGGCTATTCTGTGACTATCCCTTCTTAATCCCTTCACTTCTTCACCCATTCCCCCACACTCCCCTCCCATTTGGCAACCATCAAAACACTCTCTGTATCCATAATACTATCTCTATTCTTCTTGTTTGCTTAGTTTGCATTTTAGATTCAATTGTTGATAGGTATGTATTTATTGCCATTTTATTATTCATAGTTTTGATCTTCTTTTTATTAAATAAGCTCCTTTAACATTTCATATAATAATGGTTTGGCAATGATGAACTTTAGTTTTTTCCTGTCTTGGAAACTCTAACTGCCCTTTAGTTCTAAATGATAGCTTTGCTGCGTAGAACATTCTTTGCCATAGGTTCCTGCTTTTCATGACTTTAAACATTTCTTGCCAATCCCTTCTAGGCTGAAAAGTTTCTTCTGAGAAATCAGCTTACAGTGTTATGGGTATTCCCCGGTAGGTAACTAACTTCCTTTCTCTTGCTGCTTAAGATTCTCTCTTTATCTTTAACCTTTGGCATTTTAATTATGATGTGTCTTGGAGTGGGCATCTTTGTATTCATCTTGTTTGGGACTCTCTGTGCTTCCTGGTCTTGCATGTGTATTTCCTTCACCAAATTAGGGAAGTTTTCTTTCATTTTTTTCAAATAGATTTCCAATTTCTTGCAGTTTCTCTTCTTCTGGTACTCCTATGATGTGAGTATTGGTCTGCTTAAAATTGTCCCAGAGGCTGTTTACACTATCCTCATTTTTTTGGATTCTTTTTTCTTCTTGTTCTGATTGGTTGTTTTTTGCTTCCTTATGTTCCAAATCATTGATATAATTCTTAACCTCATCCACTCTACTATTGTTTCCCTGTAAATTGTACTTTATTTCAATTAGTGTATCCTTTGTTTCTGACTGGATCTTTTTTATGCTGTTGAAGTCCTCACTAAGTTCCTTGAACATTCTCATAACCAGTGTTTTGAACCCTGCATCTCATAGATTGCTTATCTCCATTTTTTTTTTTTTTTTTTAGTTCTTTTTCTGGAGTTTTGATCTATTCTTTCACTTGAGCTGTATATCTTTGTCTCCTCATTTTGGCAGCCTCCCTGTGTTTGTTTCTATGTATTAAGTGGAGCTGCTTTGACTCTGTGTCTTGGTCACCACACTACATTACTGTGTCCTAATGTAGTAGGTGTCATGAAGGGTCCAGTGGCATAGCCTCCCTATCACCCAAGCTGGGTACTCTAGGTGCTCCCTTCACGTAGGCTGAATGTACCCTCCTCTTGTAATTGAGACTAGATGGCAGGTCAATGGGAGGGATTTACCCAGACCAGTCAGCTACAAGGAATGGCTGCGACCACTGACCACTACCCTCTGCCCTGTGGATGATCAGCTGTGCAGGGGCAGGGTGGTGGTGCTCCAATGTGGTCTGCCAACTGGATGTGCAGGCCCTGGGGCTTACTGGGTGGTGCAGGCCAAGGTTAGCCCCAACCTGTGTTTTTCCCAGGGCTCCCCTGCCTGAGCTGTAAAGTAATCTGAGATGGCTACTGCTTGTGCTGGGCTTGGAGATTCCCAGGTGAAGCCACGCTGTGAATCTAGGCTGGCTGCTGCTAGTGCTGGGCCTGGAGCTCACTCAGGCCAGCTGTGGTTTTTTTGAAAGGATTTAGGAAGTTGTAAAGCAGGAACCAAGACCAGCCACTAACATGGTAAAGCAGCTTGGGTGGGCCCATGAGTTGAGTGGGGCAGAGTATCAAGGAATCTCTAGGGCAGGGCAAAGAACGTTAGCAGCAAGTGAGTCCACATGTGGGTTCTTTAAGAGGAGCTGCTTGGGGCTCCAGTAGTTTCTTCCACTGACTCAATCACTGCTGGTGTTTGCAGTCAGAAGTTGTGGGACTTATCTTCCTGACACTGAAACCCTGGGCTGGGGGGCCTGGTGTGGGGCTGGGATTCCTTGCTCCCAAGATATCCTTCCCAAATTTTTATCCACCACTTGTGCATGTGGGACCAGCCCTGTTCCATGTCTGCACCCCTCCTACCAGTCCGGATGGATGTGGTTTCTTTAATTCTGTAGTTGTCAGACTTGCATTCAGCTAGACTTCTGATAGTTCTGAGTGATGGCTGTTCTATATTTTAGTTACAGTTTTGATACGGTTGTGGGCGGAGGCGAGCCATGTCTGCCTGCACTGCCGTCTTGATCAGGAGTCCTCTGGTTTTATCTTTGACCTATAACTTGACATGTACCATTTACTAGGTAAAATTTGCTACAAGTGAGAAGTTGGAAAATTTGATGGTAAATAATCTACACAAAACTCAGATAAAACAATTTAGTCTCCCACTAGGTGGCATAAGAACCTAGAATAGCATAATTCTCACCGGGCTTAATAAAAAGTTTTCTATGTCTATGGTTGCATGATTCTCAATATTTTCTCTTAAAAGCAACTCTAGAAATAAAACTATCTCTGTATTTATGTCATCTTTAACATGGATTTATTTTAGTAGATGATAAAATTCATAGTGGTTTACAATTGACAATAAATAGGAGAATGTGATGAGCATTTATCAAACTCTTTTGAACAGATTAGACCATTCTTTTTTTTTTTAATCAAGGGTTGTTTTTTTTTGTCATTCATTTCTACTTTTTCTAGGCTAACATTTTCCCAAGTGGGTTTTTGGTGAGCCCAAGCCAGGGTTTAGAGTGATATCAATCTCACAGATTTCTGACATGGGAAAGAAAAGTTAATAAATCTGTGTTGTTGTGACCCTGGAAGACAAGGCGCTGTCATGCAACACCTACAGATTTTACAGAACAATCAAAAGTGAAGTAATTGGTTTTTAGTGATTAGAAAAGGGAACTATTATGTGGCCTGTGTAAATAAGTTCACATTACTTTAAGAACGCTCGCTAGTATTGCCCAAGGTAAAAAGAAATCCTTAGCACTGTTCTCTATCACTTGGCCATTAATAATAGCACCTAACTAATCCCCATACAACTTTAAAATATCAAGTTCTAATTAGTTTCCTCTTCATGTGAACCTCCCCAAAGCCCTAGTCTAACTCTGTTTTAAGAAGGTTGATGGAGCCCTTGGCCCGTGTGGCTCAGTCGGTTGGAGCATATTCCTGTAACCAAAAGGTTGCGGGTTAGATTCCTAGTCAGGGTACATACCTAGGTTGCGGGTTTGATCCCCAGTTCAGGTGTGTACAATTTCTAGTCTGGGTATGTACAGGAGACAACTGATTGACGCTTCTCTCTCACATCAATGTTTCTCTCCCTTCCCCTCTCTCTCTCTCTCTCTAAAAAAAAATGAAAAAAAAAAAAAGAATGTTGATAGAATGTGATTTTTGATAAGCTGCCATAAGTTAATGGTGTGGAGTCAGAGCTATATTCTGAAAATGCAACAAGTTTTTTGGCACACCAGGACTCAAAATTCCCAAAACTTGAGCCCTGGGTTACCTGGAGTAGAGCAACATTGGATGGGCACACAATGCTGGAATGACTGCTTAATAATGAATGCAAAACCAAGTAAATAGCCCCAGCTGATATGGCTCAGTGGACTAAGCACCAGCTGGTGAACCAAATGGTTGTTGGTTCGATTCCCAGTGAGGGCACATGCCTTGGTTGCAGGCCAGGTCTCCAGCAGGGGGCACATGAGAGGCAACCACATATCGATGTTCCTCCCCCTTTCTTTCTCCCTCCCTTCCCTTCTGTCTAATATATATAGTTCCCTCTGCATATATATATATATAATTATATATCATTATAAAGATGTATATATATCTTTTTTAAAAAAACAAAGTAAATAGATCTTCCAATTAAACCCCAGTCATTAATGTAACTATGTAACTGGTAGAATAAGAATAACATTGAAAGGATTTCATTTAACACATATTTACTGAATGCCTTGTTTTTGCAACACTCTGCGATGGACTTTGAGCTATCTTAAACAATCTGACTCTATAATGTGGCAGCAGGTAAGGAGACTGGAATAGTATCACCTTCAATATGGTCTTTTACTGCAGTAAGTGCCTCATAAATCTCTGTAGTTTGCAACACTAGAATCAAAAGAGCATTTGACTTGAACCACAGTGCCCCCTGGCAATCACAACTGATACTCTATTTTACCAATGAGAGTTATCACTGAATGTAGAAGTACAGCTCAATTCTGTTCCAATAATTACAGCAAGGTGGCACAGAAAAACCAATTCCTACTGGATCCTGGGACTCTGTTCCCACTGCAGGATTTTCCTACACTGTGTAACTCTTGGATGCCTCCATCATAGTCTCCCAGAGTACTTGTTTCAGTGCACATTCTTGGGTTCTACTATAGATCACTGAATCACATCTCTGAATCGCTTAATCAAAAGGCTACAGCAGGAAACATGAGTTCGCAGGTTCCCAGGCACACATGAGACCACCATGTACACTCCACGGATCACAAAGGAGATTTGGGGGCCTCACGATGTGAGTTCCGAAGGACATCTGGAGTCTGAAGACATCACAGTTTAGGCCTTGACATGAACACAAGTTCATTTTCTGTTACTTATCTTAGGTAAGGTCTAGTTTACAAACGTCCTCTCCCTGTTTGAACAGCAAGGAATTAATTGACTCAGGGACCAAGCATGGATTCTACTTAAATTACATATTTACAAGAAATTATTTCACTGGAATGCTTTACCTTATTATCAAGTTTTAACACAAGCAAAAATGATGTGACTCTTCCAGTGCCTCATCGTCCATAATTTTTTAAAGCATACAGTAAAGGAAAACTTTCATGGCCAAAAGCTTTTCTGAACTGAAGGGTTCATTGAGCCATGTGCTAACCAGAAAAAGGACCAGGTCCTGGGACATACAGTCTCAAGCACCAGCAGCAGGACTTGAAGGAAAAGATAAACATGTCCACCGTCCTGGAGCTGATGGGGCTCTTTTAAAGATGTAAGTTGTTTTGAAAGAATTTACACTGGCTAAAAATAAGGGGGTGGCAGGAAAAGGTGACGTGGGGGCAATTATAGAATAAATGCATAGGCTCTAAGGACGACATTTTTACTGCTTTTTGATTGGTTGTAGACAACAGTCCAGAAAGTTCATAAATAAGCAGGATACAGTGGTGTTTGATGGTCAGCTATTTCTTTTTAGATAGCCATCTGGAAGTTGACTTAAAGTTTCAACATACACACAGGAATGTGAACATTTTTATGTTAGTTTCGGCCCTTGGTTCTGTTAACCGGTTAACCTCTGACCTCTTCCTCCCACCCTCCAGCCTACTATATTTTAATTAAAAACACAGAATTTTTCTCTTGTCACATAGAACTATCAGAAGTCAAAATACAGAGAAGCACCAACATGGAGTCTGTACATGTCCTGATAAATGTTGCTTCAAAGTAGAATTAAAATTTGGAGAACTTGTGTCCAAAAAGGTCACAAGGTGATATTTTTTTCTTGTCTGTTTGTTGGTATATATGCAAGGGGGGACCCCCGACAAAAAACTCAGAATTTATTTATAAAAAATTTTGTATTTATTCTTACATGTTTAAACTTCAGGCACCTTTAATGTACTCTCTCTTTGATGCAGTACACCCATCGAAATGTTTTTTCCACTGCTTAAAAAATTATTTGAACTCATCGATTTTGGTGCCTTTTAGTGCTTTCGCCGCTTTTTGTTTCACCTCTTCCACACTGACAAAATGTGTCCCTTTGAGGACTTTTTTCATCCTTGGGAACAAAAAATGGCACTCAGGGTGAGACTGGGTGAATGGGGAGAGTGGGGCATGGGGATCATGCTGGTTTTGGTCAAAAACTGCTGAACACTCACTGCAGTGTGGGCAGATGTGCTCGTAAACCACCCATCATGAAATGGGCAAACTCACAGAAAGAGTCTTCAAAAAAATTAACTGAAACCAAATGCAGCCTCTCACAACAATGCCAGCCGGTCCACTGATACAGACGGGTTCCTAGAACACTCACCCAGGAGGGGAAGCCTGTACTATAAGGGAGCCACATTCCAGAAGATAATTCCATTTTGGGGGGTCCCTCCCCTCATACATATTGGGGGTGTGTGTGTGTGCATGTGTGTAAATAATGTAGGTTCTACAATAAGTCCAACATTGTGCTGGGAATTTAAATATTTTATTCCCTAATTATCACACTAGTTCTGCGGGGTATTGTGTTACCCCATTATACAGAGTAGGAACCTGACCCTTGAGTAACTTGCCCAAGGTCACAAAGCAAGGAAGGTCAGAAGGCAAAGAAGTATCTTGAACCTTCAAAGCTCATGTTCCCATTATACCATGTTTGTAAAGAAACATGGAAAGAAATTATTACATAAAAGAAAGATATGAAACGTTAAAACTTCCATGACAATTTTTCCCTTGCAATATCAGAATCATCCAGCAGGCTGTACTCCTGAATCAGTTTTCTAATACAAACCCCAAGCTGTTAAACAATTATATTCTTAGTGCTTCAGTTGGTTTCTGATACATTTTTTCAAATGAAATCTACAATAATTTATAAATTTTGATATGGATACTTGAAATTCAAAAGAAAATATTGTTTTTTATACATTGGTTTCCATTCTTAACTGATTTTTTTAAATTAAAACAGTACACTATTCCCTTCACCTTCTTTCATCCAGTCCCTCCCCACCTCCCTCTGGCAGCTGACGGTCTGTTCCGTGTAACTGTTTCTGTTTCTAACTCATGACCCATGGGCATGGGCAACAATGAGGAGAGCGGGGGGAGGGAGCGGGGGGGAGGCTGGATGGAGGTAGGCAAAGTAAAAAAAAAAAAAAGCAGGGACAACAGTAATAAAATAAACAGTAAAATACAAAAAATATAGTACCCTATTAAAATTGTTTATCAAAATTATTGATGCTTCCACAGCTGGGGACAGAGCTTTATTTTATCCTACCATTGTGACAGCCATGCTCTTTTATCAGAAGCTGCCACACAGATGTAGCCTGATTTTCAAAAGTACAATTAGTTTATCAGTATGTCTCCAAATGTGCCAAGGCACAGTTATTTTAGAATAACCAAAGAAAGTGGCTCTCAAAGTATGGTCCCTAACCAGCAACCTCAACATGATCCTGGGATCTTCTTAGATAAATTTTCATCCCCCACTTCAGACCTATTGTTACCAGACCAAACCAGGTTCAATTATTCGGTAGTTGCCTGCCAAAAGACAACTGCAAGATAATTTTATAAGGAGGGACTTTATTGTGAGTGGCAATCAAGGACACACCAAGGTTCACTTCCCAAAGTAGCATGTCCCCACACAAAGGACTGGATTTGTCTTTATTCATGGAAATCTTGCATAAACATCAAGGCGAACTTTATCATCGCGTGCATATGTGGGGACATTCTTATGCATATGCAAAGTTAGAAAACATACCTACACATACATTGCATGTTCAAAAATACTGACAGAAAATATTGAGGAGATTTTAGTATTATAATGAGGGTATAAGGAGATAAGTTCATGAGGAGGTAACTAGAGGTTCCTCCCTTTGGCTGTCCTCAGCCAATCTCAACCTAATCAACTCCCTGGTCCTGCAAATTATTCTAGACTTGTTCCTGAAAAATAGCTCTGACAATCATCAGTGTCAGGGGTGGCACAGGTATCAAAGGAAATTTAACTAATGAAGCCTTAGCCTTTCTGTTAAACCCTAAGCAAATTACAGGATATGGTTACACAAACACTATAAATTCTATGGCAAATAAGTGAATCTGCAAGTTAATCTAAGCAAAGTTGTGAATTCTAAATAAAAGTCTTTCCTAGGCTACCTGCTAGGCTATATATATAGGTTAGGTTACATTACCAAATTAAAAACTCTGGGAATAGAGTCCATAAAACTGTGCTTTAAGAAACCCTCAGGGGAATTTTGATGCACCCTAAAGTTTGAGTACTACCAACCTGCAATAGTTCTTAAAGTTCAGATTTCTGATCCTCCTCAGACTGAATCAGAATCTCTCGGGTCTAGGAAATCATGTTTTAAAAATATCCCAGTGAATCTTAGACATATAGAAGTTTGAAAAACACACCGGTCTGTGTGGTGTTATTTGAGGGGACAAGGAAAGATCCTTCTGTTATCAGACTAAAGAGGTCTGTTTGCCTGGACACATCAAAACTCAAGCAAATATAAACAGGAGTCTGCAGTAAAAAGTAAAGGTTTATAAGTTGAGAAAATGGTACCAAGCTCCGTCACAGGTAAGCTAGTGCTCAAAGACCTGGCTCTCCAATGGCTGCCAGGAGATAGGTTATAAAGGGGGGAAATCGTTATGGTGGCTAAAGGAGCTGGAGTCATGGGCTCTACTGACTGGCGGCGGCTAGGGTAGTATACATTTGATCATTGTGTCACATCCTGATGTCAGCCGTGGTCTTGTTCTGTCTGGTTTCATGAGGGCGTGGTCTATAGGGTCCTCCACTTTTATGGGCTTGTGGATGAAACACTAACCAAAGTCAAGATGTTATCTTTGGCTTGATTGGAAAAGAAGTGGAAATTCTACATGGTTAAAATTCTCTTAACATTTCTGTCCACTTCTACATCAAAAGTCAATTAATTTTGTAGAATTAAGCAAGGATTCTTCATTAGTTTCTAAGTTCATTAAGTCATAAATATTTTAGAGTGAATTTATTTTATTGACTGGATATTTCACCATCATGGGAGAACTAGGAAAGTAAAGAATTAAAAGGGAGGGGAATTACAAAGAGACTACCAAAGCCTAATTTGAATGGTTTGCCTTACAGTCACCTAAGACCTCATTTACAGATACCTCACACCATTCATTAGGGGGATGTCGTAGTTCAGTTTGTTAAAGAAGAAAAGAAACAATAGGCCAAATGGAGTTATTTTTGTTGTCACATCACTAAACCAAAACTTAATAACTAACCTAATTGCAGTTGTTAGCCTATCCCAGAAGTGGAATTTTAAACCAATCAATCTGGAATTACCCGGTAAACACAGTGAGGTAATCTACCTGATAACACCTGCCTTCCCCTCAGGCAGTGATCTTCAACCTTTTTCCTCTAGAAAAGAAACTAATTACTAAAATTCTGTGACACACCAAAAGATATATCGTATATTTTTGCCAGTCTGACAAAAAAAAATAAGTATAAGTTTGATAATTCACACCAGATGGCTATTGTTGTGTTGCCTGTTGTCATTTTTTAAATCTGACGTTCTAAGGGAAAATAGGTCTGTGCCCCTGGCTAAATAGTTAGGTATTGCATGTTTTTAAAATTCTTGCAGCACTTCGGCTGAAAATTGCTGCCCTAAGGTAAGGTGTCCCTGCTTGAAATATTCATTCTTTTAACTTCTGTAGTCCAAATCTTTTTCTACCTATAAAAACCTTCCATTTCGTATACCTAATCAAAGTTACCAAATGAAAGTGGGATTTGGCTGCCCACTGCCGAACACAGGCATAAACACAAACTGGTGAGGAAGGAAAAAGGTCTGTATTAAAATGTTGCACAATTTGGAGTGTAACGGGGTACATCCAGGGCCCCCGCAAAGGGTATTTGTAACGGGGCGAGAGATTGGGGTGTCCAAAAAAAAATATTCTCCCCACCCTAGGGGGGTTGCCATGGGGGACGGGAGCCTTGAACAGGGCCATTGAGAGTCATTTTGCATGTCAATAACAGGATAGCTTCAGTCCTCATATGCAAAGAGGGTTATTTTACATATCACCAAGGCTAATTAGGAAGGTTTAAAAGACTTAATACAGACTGTAACTGGGGGAGGGAACTGGAGGGACAGGGGCCTGCAGGAGAGGACTCTGGGGAACTGTGTGAAGACCACGAGGGAAGAAAGAGCAGAGAAAGGACTCTTGCTAGTGGGCCATGGGGCTAGAAGGTGCCACGTGGTTATGGATTAAGAGCAGGAGATCGCGGCGACGCAGTGGATGGTGCTGAGACCCGCGAGAGGCCTGCCCAGCCGAGCCCCGGACTTCTGTTCTTTTTCTTCTGAAGGACGGTACCCCTGACTGGCCTGACTGGCCTGACTGGCCTGACTGGACAAAGCGGGGAGGGCAGGACTATGTCTGCTGGTGATTGTTTTAAAGGGATTTTGGGGTTTAAGGGCGACATTTAGCCATTAATCAAAACTGTATAACTTTTGAGTAAATACTTCCTTTCCTTTTCACCAAACTCTGCCATTCAGAGCCATAATTCAAAGGGCAGCGGGCAAAGGACCCACAGCCGAGGGGTCCCAGGGAAGGCGGGGTCATTGTTTCGGTAATAGCATCTGGGCAACACCCGCTGCGGGGCCGTTGTTCCGTAACAGGAAGGGCTTGGGACTCTCCAACTCCAGGCAACTCTCTTCCACAACACAAAATCCCCTTGTTCCCAAAAGACTGAAATCCGAATCCATGCCCAGGGATCCTCCCCCATTCTTACCTGTCCTACTGGAGCATGAGACTACTAATCAGCCTTCTCTCCAGTTTCAGGCTCCCTCTCTGGAGGGCCCATGTGTGCGTCCGGCACCAACATCCTGCTGCAACTTTTTTTTCATTTCTGGGGCCACTGTCAGACCACACGGCGTCCAGGACCCACCAGCCCCCTGCAGGGCAAGCGAGGGGAAGGAGAAGGGGCAAGTCTCCCCCTATCCTTTGTTTAAATTTCCCAGCCCAAAATTCGAGGTGCTCCAGAAGCATCCTGCTTACCAGCCAATCCATCCTTTTTCAGGCTAGATTGGCAGTTCTGTCCTTGCCCCTGTTGCCATCCATGATATGCTCCACAGTACACATGTTGCTGTGACCTCTGGTTTCCCCTTCAATCAGGAACCAGAAGAGGAAAGGAGGGCTAGCCTCTGTCAATCACTCTCGTTAGCCGGCTAGCCTCCTGCAGTGGATCTGCCTGGGGTGGAGGGTCACTGGGCTAGCTCAGTTGCCAGGACAGCTCAGGCTGGTTTGTTTACCCTTTACCTGGGGGTAGGGAAAATTTATGCCGCGCAGTGGTGCTAAGGTTCAGTCCCACCACCTCTGGTGTTTCCTGTATCAAGAGAACTCTTCTAGTTTGTAGATGGGTGCTCCCAGTTCATAAATCTTTTAATAAAGCCAACTAGATCTAAAATTTGCTCAGTTGAATTTTGTTAACAAGTATAACATCTTTAGTGTAACATCCTTTAGCCAACTCCTACCCCGGCCAAAGAGAACTTTGTAAGTGTACTTAGTGGTAATCAAGCAATATTCATATTCTGAGTACTAGATAATCATCTAGTGTGGTATTTATTTGATGAGTGAGTATTTTAGTACAAGGGCATAAAACCAAAACCTAAGATAGGAAAATTAATCTCATTACTTTATAATATCACTTCAGTTTTTTTCAAAGAGTGCATATCCAGCCAAATGACCAGACTAGACTCCATATGAGTTTCTATTGCTTCAGAGTAAATACAGATACATGTATGATCCTTGAAAACATTACAAGTGAAAGAAGCCAGACACAAAATGACACACTGTATGTTCCATTTATGTGAAAAATCCAGAATAAATCTATAGTGATAGAAAGCAGATTAATGGTTGTCAGGATTGGGGGCGGGGAGGAGGTAATGTGGAGTGACTGCTTAATGAGTAGGGAGGGAGTTTCCTTTTAGGGTAAGAAGAATATTCTAGAACTAGATTGTGGTAATTCTGAATGTGCTAAACACCACTGAACTATGCACCTTAAAATGGCAAGTTTTATGTTATGTGTATTGTATTTTACCACAATA